TCATTGTTCTATTTAATGAGCTCCACCTTCTATGCATCTATGTAACCTAGAAATTCACCTCATTGTGCATTTTAGAGAGAAGTTGCCTTGAATTTTGAATTGATAACAATGCTTCTTCTTGCATGCAGGTAGTGACTTCAGTTATTATCAGTAGTAATGCTAAAAAGAAGTTGTGCAAAACATTGACAAAATTAATTACAAAAAAATGAACAAATAACAAAACACTTCATTTCTTATTCTTAATATATAAAGTTGGTTTATCTTGACAGTTCTCACACTTAGGATACTCATTATCTTTTTCATAACCTTCATCTTTAGCACAATAAATGCATATTGGAGAGTATTTAGCACTGTAGTACAACACCTCAATTGGATCGTTACATTCATGATCCCTTATTTCCACTTCACTGAATGCTTCAGGCAAGTTTAGTTCTGCTAGAGAAGCACCACAAGAATACTCATGGTCATCCAAAATATCCTGCAGTGTCTGACGGTGAGCAGCATCTCTGATCTAGCTTAAATCTAGAAAATACCAGCCTCCACATATTGCATAAAGCACACTGGACCATGATACTAGCATTTTTGACGTGCTGTACTGTACCTCGAAAAGGTAGAGAGTGCTTTTGCTTTTTCGGTACCTTAGTTTTAGCTACATAACTCGGACGGTGCTCTTCTGACATAATACTATTGAATGCTTCTAAGAAGGGCAGATAGTGGCCATCTTCCATGGGCATCGGGTGAGGTATGTGTTTTAACTCTTTAAAAGATGAGAGTGGCAATCGGGGTGGTTTACATAATGAACAAGTCAACTTGCCACATTTTAAAATGTCAAAAGTATAGTGGGATCGCTGGCAGCAATGCTCAATGAATTCAGCAACTTTTACATGCTGACTGATATTGTCCTTCCTGTAAGTGCCACCCTCCATCAAAGTGGAATCTAGTGCTATGAGTGCAGACCAAAATTCACTTAACTCCTCATTTGTAGCTGAATGATATATTTCAAATGCCTTGCCATGAAGTTGAAGACGACTAAATAAACTATGTAGACGAATTTTAACATGAGAAAGAGAATCACTCAATTCTTCTTTACATGATGTCAATTGCTGTCGAAGATCAGATAAATTACTGCACTTCCTAATAACAGTTTCAAATTCTGATGACATTTCAGAGCGTGCAAGTCCTACGCATTGGAGACCCAAATTTAAAACAGACATAATACGTTCAACAGGATTTCTCCAACTATGATGTGGTGCTGTTCTCCCTGCACATAAATAATCAAGGTTATACTTTAAAAACAGGCATATGAGTGACAGCTGGACATTAATGTAGGTGAGCCTATGATCAGGGCCTCCGTCAGAATATATAAAAAGTACAGGCTTTGAAAAAGATTGGCTTTGAAGAACTTTGTATAGCTCAGTCATGTGCCGAAATGGAGATGATGGCTCATATATAAGATCTTTTACTCCCACAAAAACAGCACCTAAAACACATGACATTAATAACTTAATTCATAGCTATACAAAATTAACGTTAACTGTAAAACGCATAGGAAACATAATTGTGTAAGTTGATTAATAAAATTTGTACACCACAGGCAGAGGAAGGGGGAGGGCTATGGGGCTAAAGCCCCCACCCCAATGTTAAAACAAAGGCCACCAATAAATTTCTGCAAATTGAATTAAAATGACTTTTATCAGTTAAACTACACCTGCATTCAGTAGTTTTTGATGTTATGCAGAAAAAAAACACAATACAGAGCTTAAAATCCAGAAGCCCTTTTCATAAAAAGACATCACTCAATTTAACAACTGAGGTTCAGCCCCCAATCGCAATTGTTTTGTGTAAACTAAATAATCACTAAAATACCAATAACAATATTAGTACATATATGATGCCTCATGTCAACTACGACTCTGATTATTTCATTGACCAAAATTTAGAATAGAAGTTTTAGACAATAAAAATTAAAAACTAAGTAGGCATGACAGTGTGAATAATAATAATTAATGTAAATTAAAATCAACAAAAATATTTTGTAAGGCTTGCTAGGATAGAAAATCAAATTATCTGGCAATGAAAATTTCCTGCTATTACTGAACTGAAGCTCGAAGTCCATTTTTATTGAAATAAGTGTTTCTAGCTACAATGTAAGCTAAAAATTAATGGTTGGTTTTACTAATATTCTATGCTCAATACTTCTACATGTATATAACTAAAGCTATTCCTAAAGATGTTAATTTTGCAGTTTAACAAGTGTAACAGTGTAAAAATATTCCTATAAATGTTTTCATGACCTTACATGTACATTTGGGTTTTTATTTAGACAGTATCTCTATGTTCTCTTGCTGTTAGAATGCTCATAACTTTGTCCCGTGTGTAAGCCGCCATTTTGTTTGCCATAGCCAGACCCACTTTACTTAAAGGGCGTGGTTTGGTGGTTGCTAAGGCACATTGATTTTGTAATTTCTCCAATACATGTATAGAAGAAATATAAGTGTGGGCATAATATATATATACATATATATATATTATATATAAACTTTGCACTTGGGTGAAATCAATTATAGGAAAAAACTGGGGGTTTCACCCCAGTTTGTAAAAATACTATAACATAAAAAGTTTAGAAAACAAAGCTTGGTTTGACCAGTTGAACAAATTACTTTTATCAAAACATAAACAAATTACCTTTGTACCAAGATTCAGAAATTTCATCTGGAATATCAATTGAAAAGATCACAGAGGGTATTACGGAGAACTTGGTAAAGTTGTGATCTCCTACTGCCAATGTTTCATCACTTCGTACAGATACCTTCTTTCCTCTCAAAGCTGAAGCCACAGGGTAACCAGGTTCACCGATCTTAATCTTATGCTTGTCATCAAGGCATATAAATGAACATTCAGAGCGAATCTGTAGGGCATATTCCCTCTTGTATCTAAAACAAGCAGCTGCATAGTGTGAGTCGGGATGGTTCTGTCTCCACTGCCTTTGCTGAATCATGAACTTCATAGTAAAACGACCAGTATGCTGTAATGATGCCTTGGCCGAAGGAGTCTTTGGCCAAAACTGCAACCTGACCCACTCTTCACATGGTATAGGTGTACCTTCTGGACATAGGGCCTTCACTTGATCGATGAAGTCTCTGATTGATATTGCCCGTGCCAAATGTGTGATCTGGCCATGTCTACGCTCATCAACAACATATCCTATATCTTCATTCAGAAAATCATTACAATGCTCCCAAAAAACATCATAACGGGTTGATCTAATACCATTATGCTTTCTAAGATCATCAATAATATCATAATCTTCCATTTCCACAATCTCTTTGATTCTTTTATCTATTACATCTTCATCAGTAGTAGATGAAGCAGAACTATCACCTATTAAATGATAAAACACAGATTAAAATTCATTAAATCTAAATAAGTAATAGAATACCTGTAAGTTCCTTATAAAAATACCTCAGCTGAAAAGGTTTGACATTCTTTGAAATGCGGCCAAATTTGTCAAACATTGCTCTCTTCATTGCTCTAGTATGAAAGACAGGGAGTAACAGTTTAATTTTTTCAATGGTAGATTGACTCCTCTGATGTAGTATAGATTCATCACTAATATCTAGTGGCAACGGCCACATAAAATGAAGGTTTGCGATACTACCACCTGGAGCATACATCAAAAGCATGGCACGACAAGATAGCCCACTTTCAGTCAACAAATTTATAAGTCTGTGCTTTTTCAAAGACTCTGAAGGTAGCAGATGATCAATCGAAGTATGTGCATATACAGACTGACTCGATACTAGCTTATCAATAGCAGACAGAGATGAAGGAACAGATTCTGATTCTTCTAGTACTTGTGTAGAAAAGTGATCTGATAACTCACGAACAGGAGTAGGGCTTTTGTGATTTTCCTTCGATCTTTTATTTTTGTCAATTAAGTACTCAGAATAACAACTGAGACTTGAAAAGAGATCCACAAAATGTGGCTTAAGGTCTTTCCATGTCTCCCTTTCCCAGTAGCACTCCAATAAAAGCTGTGAAAGATCCAGTGCAAATCCACGAAGCTGATCGGCACAAATATTTCCAGTTCGTCTCTTACGATGCTTTGATTGCTCAGGAATATTAAACCCAGTAAAGATATTAAAAATGGAGGGAATAGGTTTCTTGACTCTATCAAATACATGGAAATGACCATCAATATGCCAGAAAATATCCCTTAGAGTGACTAACAGTTTATTTGCCAATGTGATTTCGTCCTGTAACCAGCCAACTGATGAAGAGTTAAAAAATGAAATAATCCGATTATATAAAACATCTTTCCTATTTCTTTCTCTCACAGGTTCAGGAACTGACAATGAAAAACTCTCATCCGTATCAGTGGCAGTAACAACACCATCGTCAGTAGACTGAACTTTATACTGTAAATATCGACCATATTCAGGGACTAGAGCAGAGAGTGGCAAATTTATATCAACAAGCACAAGCGTATGTCTTTCTTGTCCAACAAGGGCAGACAGCAAAAGGCATTCAATGTCCAACCGGGGCTTCACAGTCTCATTAAAAAATTCTAAAACGGTAAATGACTCATCAAATTGTGTTATCGTCCATGGCATCAAAAACTTTAAGCCATTCATGACACTTGTAGTAACTAAGTTCATGTGTAATTGTGCCATTATAGTACTGAACCTATATTAAAAGATAATACAAATTTATCAATAAAGACACTGACCAAAAAAACAAGGAATAAAATGTGTTTATAGGACAATAAACAGTATAGATGGTCACTGTGTATAGGACTGTAAAAATTGCTGCTGTATACACTAAAGAAAGAGAGAGAGAATAAATTAAAATTACAATCAAGGCTAACAGTTAATGAAATGAAGCAACAGTGTGAAACCAAAATACTTGATCCAATACAAGAACAAGAGAGTCTAGAGAGAGTACAGTATATGTGTGACAATAAATCATGAAACAAACATGTACAAACCTGACAGTATTCACTATTAGAGCTAAGGGAAACACTGGTAGTGAGATACTAAAAATGAGAAGAGGGAAGGAGAAAGAAAGTGTACATAAAACATGCATCAAACATGCACTAACCGTAACAAAATGAGCTCCAGTTAACAAAGAAATGATCAGAGTATAACTAAGCAAATGCTGTACTGTTATATACACTAAAGGATGTAGAGAGAGAGACAGAATAAATTAAAATTACAATCAAGGCTAACAGTTAATGAAATGAAGCAACAGTGTGAAACCAAAATACTTGATCCAATACAAGAGAGTCTAGAGAGAGTACAGTATATGTGTGTCAATAAATCATGAAACAAACATGTACAAACCTGACAGTATTCACTATTACAAATAAGGGAAACACTGGTAGTGAGATACTAAAAATGAGAAGAGAGAAGGAGAAAGAAAGGAAGACAGTAGAGTACATAAAACACATCAAAAATCCACTAACCTTATGAGCAGCAGTTAATAAAGAAATGATCAGTGTATAAGTAAGTGACTGCTGTACTGTTGTATACACTAAAGGTTATAGAGAAAGAGAGAGAGAGAGAGAATGAATTAAAAATATAATGAAGGCTGACCGTTAATGAAATAAAACGCCAGTGAAACAAGTAAACCAAAATACTTGATCCAATACAAGAGAGTCTAGAGATAGCAAACATCTGTGTCAATAAATCATTACACAAGCATGCACAAACCTGACAGTATTCACTATAATTAAAGAGAATGATAGTCAGGTACTGAAGGAGAGAGACGAAGCCAGTCATCAAGCAGCAAGAACCAGTTATAGCCAGAACAAACGAAAATACATGTAAGCTCTAAATTAGTCTCTAAATGAAAATACATGTAAGCGCTAAAATAGTCTCTAATTGATAGTTTCAGAAAGCCTTGAGCACTACAATCAGATCAGAAACATAAATTTGCAAAGCTAATGTGTGCAAAGTCAGAGGTAAAAGCAAAGGACAATGAGGAGATCAGTCATGTGAACTGAACTTGACTGAGAGGCTAATAAAATGGCGGACTAGGGCTCCCTATGGCTTTTGGCTCACTAGTACTTGTGTGACATGTGGTAACTTAGCTCTTTTGCACATTATAATAAATGATAATCTAGCATAACAAACCAAGATCTTATTCTATGAGTACTCCTTGCCTCTTTCTTTAAGCGGCCTCCTCAGTACCAAAGTTCACCTCACATGCATGTGGCACCGCTGGCACGTGGATTAATCAGAATATCACTGAAGCATGCGGGAGTATGCGGGCGGGAAAGGAGAAACAATAAATCTAATTGCGATGGCCTAAAGGTAATGGTATGTCACATGACTATCACATGAGTGTACATGTCATCTATGTGTACATGTTGATGTGGTTTTTGTTCCAGAGGTTGTTTCTCTTGATTCTTTGTTGCCGTCTTGTTTCATTGAGCTTCATAAGCAACAGTTGACGTTAGCTCCATGGGAGCAGATACTTAAATCAGCTCAAAATGTGCTCTTCAATGAAGAACTGTTTGCACAGGTATAATACTGTACTATAATAATTAATGTATTTGTATTAATTTGGTTTAGATTGTACAATCATTTGTGATGAGGAACTTGTATTATATAATGTGAAACTG